ATGCCATGATGCCACCCACCATCCTCACAGCGCGGAGGTGGACCAGGGTTTCTTCTGACCACCCTTAGAAAGACAGAGGAGATGGCTGCTGCCACGCGCCTCCAGTTTTCCCTGGATATGGTGCCATCTTCTCTGCCTCGATCGAGGACCCCCAGGGTAGTTGATCCCGCCTGCTTAGCGATTTCGCTGAACAGAGCAGGCGCAACCCCATTCCTGGGTCTTTTTGCGTGGGAGCCTTCTCCCTCTTGAGACCTTTGTCTCTTAGGACCCGTAGGAGGCGCACTCGCGTCTCCTTTCGTCGGGTTCTTAGCCTTCTCATCCCGGCCACACAGCACCCCTTTGGCCCACTCGAGCGTTTTCAAATGTTTCTCAGTAAGCTGAGAAGCATCTTGACCGCCATAGCGCTCCAAAATCTTGGTAGCCATGCGCCTGTCGGAGTAAGCCTTTCGGCCCGACGATATTTGCCGTTTAGGCATTCCCGAAGGCTTCTTGTGGGGAGCCTTCGAAGACAGACCCGGAAGACTGGGAGAGGAGCCCGCGCTGGTGCTGGCGATTCCGTCTAGCACCCCCCTTAATCGCTCTCTCAGTCCGGCCTCTTGCCTAGAGACCCCCACGGAGTCCGGTTCCGGCACTTGTGCCCTCCCAGTGGCGACAGAACCTGCCCCCCCAGAAGCGTTTAAGTGCGTCGGCTTCGACGCGTTCTTACCCCCCGAGCGACCATCCGTTAAGGATCCCCCAGAGATTGAAGTTGTAGAACGAGGCGGTTTCGCCTCGCATACCGAAGGTGGTACTGTAGCCCTCCCAGATGAGCCGGCTTTGGGGGTCGGCTCCGACTCCCCGCCACCGCTCGAAAGCTCATTTTTTTGTAAATTTTTTGTTTTCGTTATTTTCATTGTTTTTCATGTTTGTTGGGTCCCCACTCAGAGCCGCTATCCAAAACCCGATCGTGTAGTCGCCTTTAAATGGTCCCATAGCTACCTCTGAACAAGACTATGGCGAGGGTTGACCCATGCCCTTATGGGGTCATGAGTTCAGAGCCGACCAGCGCAAAGACGGGAGTCATCTCAACCGCACCTACACCACCAACTAAACGGCGACGGGAATTGGAACGTACCCTGAGGCCTGCCAGGGTTTTAACGGGACGGGGGCAGTTGCGGCATTAGCCCACCAGCCATTTCTGCTGAGTGTCACCCCAGCATACTCAGGTGGTAGAATACCACAACCACCAGCTCAGGGATCGACAAATCCAAAACGTTTTCAGAATCGTAGTCAGAGGACGAAGCCAGGGTCGTTATCGTTCAGGTTAAGAGGCCATGGAGGCCGCAGGCCATTTGGCGTTACCCAGGGTGCACCACGCGGAGGCGACCTGCTCTACACCCCTTAGTCTTACATAAGTTTCCCAATAACTTCACAATGGGATCTTCAGCATTAATTTGAAATTTTTTAACAAGTTCGGATATAAGTCTATCAATTTCCGACACTCTTTCCCATTTACTGCTGTTAAAACAAGGACTAACCATTTCCTTCTCTTTCCTCTGATTAACTGTTTTGTATATTTCTACATTCTGTTCGTTATTTTGCTTAGTCACCACATCGTAGGACTCCTACCTCCAGGTACTGTAGGAAAATCTACCTCATAATTTTCCAGAATTGAAAAGGGATTGTTCTTATCAAAAATATCTTTATAACCCTCAATCACTTCCCTTTTGGAAAGCTTCTTGATGGTCATAATTTCAATGATATCACTTTCTCTTTTCCTAACCGGACACTCTCTCTTTTTAATTGAAACATGTTCTGCACTACCACATAGAATGCACTTAACCTCACCCTCACTACATTTATTTTCACACTTTTCCAGCTTTCCACATAAAATGCATCAGGCTCTCGCTCTACATCCTAACTTTGGATGCCCCAACCGACCACAATTATGGCATTGCTTCGGTCTTGGAAAAA